ACGCCAGCCGTGTCGAGTTGGGCGAGAAGGCGACCGACTTAACCCAATTGCTATGGCCCTTGAGCGTCGACAGGCAGGCGCCGCTGCTCGCGTCCTAGATCTTGACGGTGCTGTCGAACGACCCGGACGCCAGCCGTGTTGAGTCGGGCGAGAAGGCGACTGACCAGACCTAATTGCTATGGCCCTCAAGCGTCTGCAGGCAAGCACCCTATTTCTCTTCCATAGCTATTGCTATTGTAATCTAATTTAGCTCTTCTTTTTTAAAAAGATTTCTTATTAGGCTTTGCGTTGGGCTAAATACCAGCGCGGAAGCATATGCTTAGAGAGGGCTGTTCTCTATTGCTGACTTGTGAGACATAATAAATTGGCACGCGTCTCTAACTAGTTTATTTAATCTAGTTGTATTTGTTCTCCTCTAGGTGATGTTAATATTTTATTAATAATACAGAAGAAACTTGTAGATTACCTTTACAAGAGCTTCTAATTTTGCTATTGCCACTACCCCTTTTGACATGTTCTTGCAAAGGCTAAGAGCCTCTAGCTAGTAGAGGTATTGCTGTCTTAGAAAGTTGTTAACAGTGCCTCTATCCCATAGATTGACTTTATCCTCTGAAGAAGAGCTAGGATTCCAGTCACAGAGGTGATCGATCCAGTAGATACATGAGTAGCGTGATGCTGCCAGTGGATCTGGGTCTGGTGCCTTAACCTGCTTGGCTGAATATCCTAGCGTACATAGACTGTACATATCTTGTTGGAGCGTCTTAGACATAATTTGGAGCGATCTAGAGAAGATGGACTAGTGAACACTTTTAATCCCGCACGGAACTAGGTCATGTCTTGCTTCCTTAGATAGAAAATCCCTAGCAGACTGGTAGATAAAATAAACATTCTCTTCTCTTATTGTTAGGAACAAGCTACACATCTTTATAATTGCTGCAGTATCTTAATTTACGTTCTAGACTTGCGTCAGCAAGCTAAATAAGACATAAAGTTCCTGCAGGTAGAGTGGGCAATACGTAGCGAGAACTGTAGAGAGAACCTGTTAGCACAGTTCTAGATATTAGCGCTGCAACTGTTTAATTTTCTATATTATCTAACAATACACGTTCTTTAATTCTGTTAGCACTTCTTTAAGGATTATTAGTACCTCCTAGGCTATTGCCTTCTTTAGCTCTTTAATAACAAGAGATACCTAGAGAAAAGTGCTATTAGCCTTTTATTACATTTTCTCTTACATTAAATTATAGAGGAGTTAATTATGTTTAATTCCTTATAATTTTAAAAGGTAACAGTTAATATACGCATTAATAGCACAGGATACTTGTGCAGCGTTTTTTTTAAGCTTAAGACTTAGCCTAATTCTAGAATTATTAAGCTATAGTCTCTACTTAATATAGGCCTTATTGTAGCTGCTAACAATCCACTTAGCACAAGAAAATACAGAAGACATTAGGACAATAAAATTTACTAGTTTTAGTAGGTCTGTTTTACATTTGTTAAGCGCGTTAACAGTAAAATACGTGCTGTTTAAGCTTAGGTCTTATAAGATATTTATAAAGATCTTAGATAAGGCAACCTAGGCATTTGCGTCCTTAAAGAGTGCTTTGCCTGCATAGTTGTGCTTCTCCTGGATATGCAAGACAAGCAATGGCTGCTAGCTAACAAGTAAGTACAGTAGGCCTTGCAGCACAGCTGTGGCATTGTTAATTTGCGAGTCTGTAGCTTAGTAGAAGAAGTAGAATAACTAGAATGTCTTAGGCATTAACTTGCTTAATTTATTAATAATGCTGCAGAGTAGCATTGTCTTGCCTTTGCCTAGATCACCCTTAATCTATAGCAATTAGCTCTGCTTGTTGTCCTGCTATTATTAGAAGTTAGAGTTTTTAAGGATCTAGAGGTACAAGTCTTCTAAAAGTCTGCCCTTAGTCTCCTTAATACGCTTTTTGTTATTACTAGAATTAGTAAGACATAAGTCTTGTATGCACTTTTAGATATTGTAGAACTTGTCTAGAAGCTGAGCAAGCGCACTTGTTATCCCCTTACTATAAATAGGGAGTATGTAGACATTAAAAATACCTAATAATAAATATGCTCATACATGACTATCATGGTTGAACCACATTAAGAATCACTCTAAACTATACCATATTAGTATTGTTTAAACTATACTATGTTAATTATAGTGTTAAACTGCGTTAAAAACTGCGTTAAGAACTATGTTAAGTAAATATACATTAATTTAAGCGTGTTAGCATAGTTACTTGCTTTAATACTAATCTATCCTACCTGCTCCTTTATCTACAACACTAAGAAGAGTTTCTTAAAGCTTTAGATTAATTAGTAGACCTATTCTGCTATCCTAGACTAGCTTAATGTGCCTCTGTTATATCTAATTGCTAATACACTTAATTATCTTAATAGTAGTGCATTGCAACTGTAATCTGTCCTATAAACAGGTCCTTTAGGCCTTAGAGAAGGTCTGTTCTAGCTCTAATAATTCTACAGGGATAGAGAGAATAGCTATAGCTATATAGCTAAGCCCTAAATAGCTGCAACACTGCTTAGATTAACACTACTACTTAAAAAAAGTAACTTTGTCTTTTAAATTAATAGCTAGGCTATTAATAAAGCTTTTAAAGTTGTTATCTAGCTATAAACTAATAGTCTTTACTTTTATCTTTTACTTTAATAACATAAAGACGTTCACAGGCTTATCTAGCTGTCTAGTTAATATACTAGGTACATTATCTAGAGCTAGAGAAAAGCCTAGTTTACTATTAAGCTTAAAATTATTTACCTAGATTATATTAGCAAGTTTAATAGCTAGCTCTACCTACTCTTCTAGCTAGTTCTAGTGTAAGTAGGCAGCTTGCTTACGCAGATTAAGTAGTATTACAGTAGTGTATACAGGTGTCTCTCCTATTTTATTGTAGTATTTGTTAAGTATATACTAGCCTATGTTAATAGCTTAAATTATGCGTTTATTATAGTTTTTAAGTAAGAAGTAGTAGTTCTACTAAACATAAGTACTTAGCTCTATTAAGGGGAACTAGATACTAACCTTTTTTTTTTTATACTATGTTAATAGAAGATCTATAAGCTTAAGTAATTATGTAATTAATAACTTATTCTTCTTTATGTATAGAGTTGCTAATGTAAATAGCTCTAAAAAGTAAGCAGCTTTTTTAAAAATATTTTAATTATTAGCTTAAAGCTAATTATTGCCTAGAATGTCTTTATAGTTAGTTATAAAGCTCTTAATCTTATTTATCTTCTTTAAAGCTTATATAATAACCTAATACTAAGAAGACTATTATGTCTAATTATTAATCTTAAGACATAGACTAATAGCTCTGTCCTAGAGACCCTAGTAGATTATAGAACTTTAGAGCTAGACTGCAAGATTATAAAGCTTGCGTAATGTAAGAATGTTTTTAACACTATTAAAGTTCTTAACTAAGATAATGCTTATATTACTACCTTACTACTTCTATTATTTACTTTGTCCCTTTATACAAGGGCGCTCTGCTTTAGTTTGTTTATAATAAGAGGTAAAGACACTTAAAAACTGCGTAAAAAAAGCTTCTCTAGCAACACTAAAAGCAGTCTTAAAAGCAGCAATAAAAGCTTCTTAAAAAGACATAAAAAGAAAAGCTTAAAAAAAGAGATTAATAATATAAGTAATATAATAGACTTAATAATGCTTTGCATTAAAGTTAATCTACTTAGATAATTAGCTTAATAAGTGCTTAATTAAACCTATAACTAATGTTGTATTTACGCTTTAATTACTTTAATAAAGCTTTTAAACAGGTATTATTTAATATTGCATTATTACCTATATAATAGCTAATCTAGAATATAATATTATATTTTCTAAAAGTATCTATAATAGAAACTGCTTGCTGCTCTCTAGAGTAGCTGTTATGTAGCTCTAAGAGCCCTAAAAGTGCCTTCTAAAGCTAATAGTCTTAATTAACTTATTATGCGTAAACTATAAGCATTAAGTAATAATGCAGCAATGTCTAGAGGTCTAAAGAGATGTAAATAAGGCTTATAGCAGTTATTATGCTAGTAGACAGCTACTCTTAATAAAGCTTATAGTTTACTACAATGTATTACATAACTATAGTTTACATAGTAATTAGCTTATCCTTAATAGCAGAGTTATAAGTAAGGTAGAGTTGCTCTAGTTTCTTTTATTTAATAGCTAAAAAAGGCACTTTATAATAAGTAAGTAGTCTTATTAAAGCCTTATAATAGGCTTATTAGTTAAAACTACTTTATAAAGTGTTTATTGCAGTAATAGAAGTATAGATAAATAAAATAAACTACTAGGTGCTTACATAAGAATAAGTCCTTAAGGACATTAATAACACTAAATGCTTTACCTTAACATAGGTAATAGTGTTACTAAAATGCGTCTCCTCTTAGCTAGGACATATCTTATAAATGTATAGCCTCTTCTCTTTACTTTATTATTTATAACCTAGTTATAGTAAAGCTAGGCCTTTCTTTAGTTTATAAGTAAAGATAACTTAATAGAAGTTAACAGGCTTTGTTTTACAGTCTGTAGTTGCAGAATTAGATATCTCTAACTCTAAAGACAGTATAGGCGACATTTAAAGAGGTGTGGGATTAAGATGTATAATAATTTTAAATAACTAAATAGCTAAAATAAATAAAGGCAAAGGTTTTAAAAGCTGTAGTGTTAAATTATATTCTAAAGAAAGTGCTTAAAGTAACTTACATTCTGTATTAAGGTCTTAATAGCTATATAAATACATTAAATCTATAGACGTAATAACTAATTAGTAGTAACTACTGCCTAAAGTATAATAGTCTGCCTGTGATATAAGAAAGAGGCGTTTCCTAGTTTGTTGTTGCCTATAGGCATTAAGAGCTGTATCTCTGCATCTAACATGTAGATCTGCTAAGCTATTAATGCGTTTTGCGGTTAAACCACATTAAGCTAATAGACTAACCTAGTTTAGACTTAATACCACAAAACCGCAGTTAGATATAAACCAGGTTTAGAACCACGTTAAGGTGGTCATGTATGAATATGCTTTATCTTTTTCTAGCTTAGTCTAATAGTGTTCTATCCACCACAATCACTCCTTAACGCTAAATTAAGATAGAGGGTCTCCTTAAAGCGTAGAGTAAGAGATATTAGTTATCCTATAGATTTGTTGCCTTAAAAAACTCTTGTCACCTAGTTACTTACTTTTTTAGGAGAAAAATTTAACTAAAGCTAGGGCGAGGAGCTCTTGGGGCGTCCAGCCCTAGGTAAACTATCTGCTTTTCTAGAAATCTAATTCCTATGGCTTTGTTGACTTCTTTGTCCTGTTTAAAGTAAAGGAAGTTGTAGATACATCTGATAAATATACGTAGCATTGAGTCGCACTGCGGTACCAGTGAAACATAGAGTTAATAGAACGTGAGAGTTCGGCGTTGTTCTCCTTGTTGATACAAACTTAACCTATACTTGCAACAACATTGACTTTATTCAACCGCTTACGCGACTTGTAATTTTTACTACTTAAGCTAACTAGCTGACTGGGATGTTGATTACCTGGGGATGTTGATTACCTGGGGATGTTGATTACCTGGGGATGTTGATTACTGATTAGAACTCAACACCCTCATCAAAACACGTGTTTTCTCGCCATCCACACTGCCAAAATGGATGCCCGTGAAGAATCTATTTAAGCAGCCATCTGCGATTTTAATGCTGGTGTTTTACCAAGTCAAAGAGCTGCTGCAAGGGCATACGGCATCCCGCAGTCGCACGATTTCAACGCGTCTACACAGCAGACAGAACAACCGCGATAGCCACGTATACCAACAAAGATTGACTCCAGAGCAAGAGAACTTCCTTGTACAATGGATACTTGAAGGAGACGCACGAGCTTTTCCTCCCTTACACGCACGCGCACGAGAAATGGCGAACCGAATCCTTAGGATGAATAGGGACAACAGGCCTGTGGGCAAGCATTGGATGGCTGCCTTCCTAAAGCGCAACCCACGCGTCACATCTGTTGTAGGTCGAAAAATTGAGGCAGCCCGAGCTGAGGGAGCAACTCCAGCACAGATACGCGCATTTCTTAAGCTCTTTGAGAGGGTTCGTATGAGGCTGGGCATCCAGGCTGAGGACACATGGAATATGGATGAGACAGGGAAGGCCCTTGGTGTATGTGCCAACACCAGAGTCCTCGCAAGTAGTCAGAAGAAGAAGGCTTACTATCAGTCTCTAGAGAATCGTGAGTGGGCATTAATAGTTGAGTGTGTGTCAGCCACGGGCAAGAGACTGCGCGCTGCGGTCATTTTGAAAGGGAAGAACCTGCAGAGTACCTGGTTTCCTGCGACAATACCTGACTAGCTATATACAACCTCTGAGAATGGCTGGACATCAAATGCAATAGGAGCTGAGTGGCTGAGACGCGTGTTTCTACCAGACACGAAGCCTGGAGACGATTGTTAGAGGATGCTAATTCTAGATAGCCACGGCAGCTATATTGACCTGGAGTTCCTGTGGGCCTACAAATAGAATAAAGTCTATCTTCTATTTCTACCTGCTTATTCTTCTCATGTCCTGCAGCCTCTAGATCTCTCAGTGTTCTTAGTTGTAAAGAGGTTCTACCGGCAGCAGATCCAGGCTCTCTTGTATCTTGATAACACAGCGCCTGTTAAGAAAGAGCGCTTTATTACAGCCTAATATTAAGCACAAGAGAAAGCAATTACTGAAAGAGTTGTGAGAGCAGGATGGGCTACTGCGTGTATCTGTCCATTGAATATAAGCGCGAGTAGAGGCTTCCTATTCTAACACGTGTTTATAGGGGGCTGCTTAAAGAGAAAGCAATTGCTGCAGAAACAACACATGTTAGATAAGCGCGTGTAGAGACTTCCTATTCTAACACGTGCTACATACTTATGTCTTGCTTGCCTTAAAATGTGATCTCCTATCAAATGTCCGCAGGAACACTGCGCACACTAGTATATTCCTATTTAATAGGTTAGATGGCGAGGTAGTAAGACCTAAGTTAGATTCGACGGAGGTTACAATTTTGAGGGTGTTCGTTTGGTTGGACACAGTCGAGGCAAAGTAACAGGATATGCATGCCTACGTGACTACCATAAGGCATCTGTATGTCCTACTGTGTTGCGAGTAACTGGAAGGAAGGAATAAGGGTGTAGGTGCAGATTTCTTATGAACATGAGTATCCGCGCATGTGCTCGAGGACATCGCGGTTTCCTAACAGTAAACCTGTGTTTACTATGTAGTTTATCTTGTTTCGCTCCGTCTTCTCTTCTTCTCTTCAAGCCTCTCACCCACCACCACCACCACCACCATAATTGGCTGTGAGCCCCCCCGCAGTCATACGTTCTCATACCCCAGCATCCTACCAATTCCTAGTCCCTTTCCCAATCATGTTCTTGTCTGAAACTCTGCTGACCTGTGCCAATAGATCAAACCACCACCGCCACCACCACCAACCACCGACAGCCGTAAGCCTTCCCGCAGCCATACGTTCCGATACCCTGGCAAGATCACAACACTTCTCTCATACCCCAGCATCCTATCAACCTACCAATGCCCAGTCCCTTTCCCAACCATGTTCTTTTCTGAAACTCTGCTGACCTGTGCCAATAGATCAAACCACCACCGCCACCACCACCAACCACCGACAGCCGTAAGCCTTCCCGCAGCCAGACGTTCCCATACCTTCGCTACCCCACAACCCTACTATGATACCTCAGCACCTGACTACCTATCATTCGAAACGCCTTGATCCTTTCCCCATTTTCTACATCTTTGGACCTTTGCTAACTCTTGACATGCTACAATACAGTCCAACAAAAGTATATTTCCATTTCCAACCTGCTGGACCAACCCTATCGTCTGTTTCCCCTAGATATATTTGCTTATGTAATCACAGTGGGCCGAAAATGCTACAACTGCGGCAAGCCCGGCCACCTGGCACGTGAGTGCCAGGCCAATCTCACCTAGGAGGAGGAGGGCCTGGCGGCGGTGTGCCGCTTCCTGGGGGCGGCAGCTGTAAGCAATAGACAATACGCAATCCCTTCGATGATCTTTGCTAATCACGAATGCTATTGTATAGATCGCCCAGCGCGACCGCCGCGGCGGTACGTTGTCCCATCCAAGTTTTCCCCACCCGATCGTTACCGTTCTATCAATACCCTTGCGTCGTCGTTCTGTCTTCGTTCTCACCGTTCTCCATGTTCTCAACGCTTGTTATCGCAACTGGCCTATAACATACCTGCTTTTCCGTTGAGCACTGGGAGGGCCATTGTGTAGGTTTGCTAACTGTGTCATGTAGGTTCAAAGTTCTTCAACAAGCGGGGGGGGCGGGGCGGCAAGGCCGCCAAAAAAGCCAAGAAGGCGGCGGCGGCGGCGGCGGCGGCGGCGGGTGCT